GGGGAGCTGTATCCTGAAGGTTCTGTACTGTCTGGGGGAAGTGTATCCTGAAGGCACTGTACTGTCTGGGGGAGGTGTATCCTGATGGTACTGTACTGTCTGGGGGAGGTGTATCCTGAAGGTACTGTACTGTCTGGGGGAGGTGTATCCTGATGGTACTGTACTGTCTGGGGGAGGTGTATTCTGATGGTACTGTACTGTCTGGGGGAGCTGTATCCTGAAGGTACTGTACTGTCTGGGGGAGGTGTATCCTGATGGTACTGTACTGTCTGGGGGAGGTGTATCCTGATGGTACTGTACTGTCTGGGGGAGGTGTATCCTGATGGTACTGTACTGTCTGGGGGAGGTGTATCCTGATGGTACTGTACTGTCTGGGGGAGCTGTATCCTGAAGGTTCTGTACTGTCTGGGGAAGTGTATCCTGAAGGCACTGTACTGTCTGGGGGAGGTGTATCCTGATGGTACTGTACTGTCTGGGGGAGGTGTATCCTGAAGGTACTGTACTGTCTGGGGGAGGTGTATCCTGATGGTACTGTACTGTCTGGGGGAGGTGTATCCTGATGGTACTGTACTGTCTGGGGGAGGTGTATCCTGATGGTACTGTACTGTCTGGGGGAGGTGTATCCTGATGGTACTGTACTGTCTGGGGAGGTGTATCCTGAAGGTACTGTACTGTCTGGGGGAGGTGTATCCTGATGGTACTGTACTGTCTGGGGGAGGTGTATCCTGATGGTACTGTACTGTCTGTGTCCAGTTCACACCTCTAACGTCTGAGTATTTAATAAGCACTCGCGTGAACACGTCTTCAAGAACAGGCCGAGGCAAGACAGTGACATAGACCACTAGTAGAGAACATTGTATAACAGGTTGTGTTGACATTCTGAAACACTCAAATACTTAGAGAGAACAAGAGCGTTCTAGTTGCTCTCCGAACTGGTTGCAAAATCCTCTGATCCACTGATTCTATATTCAGAGAAACTATGAATGTGGAGGTCAGTCGCCATTAATGATTTCGTTCTGGAATGTTTAATCACCATTCATGATATCATTTTGCAATGTTCTTTCACCATACAGGATATCAGTATGGGATATTCATTCGCCATTCATGTTATGAGTGACGAGTGCTCATTATCTATTCATGGTGCCAATGTGGAATGTTCGGTCCGTATTTATGGAATCATTGTAAAATTCTTGTTCTCCATCCATGATATTTTGGAATACCCATTCAACATTTATAATTGTTGATATCGAAAACTTTGTTCAAAATTCGGGTAGTAGGAGAACATAAGGAGCTTTCGTGCCTCAAGTCAAAGCTGAAGAGAAACAATAATTATATCAGAAAATTTGAAATTACGAAGTTTCCGTTGGATGAGAAAACCCCCGAAAGCCAACTGAATGAACAATACTCGATTACCCATTGAATGCGAGATACTCGATGGCCCAATGAATGAGAAATTCACTAGGGATCAGTGGATGAGAGATACCAGAGGGCCTCATGAATCAATGATACTCAAAGGCCCATTGGAAAAAGAGATGTCGAAGGTGCCCGAATGCATGAGAAATTTCCGAGGGACACACTGGATGAGACATAACCAAAGGCCCAAATGATGATTAGTACCCGTGGGCCAACTGGAGGAGAAAAACCTGAAAGCTCAATTAGAGATACTCGAGGCCTATATCGATGAAAGATTCATAGGGGCCCACTGGGAGAGAAATCCTTCGAAAGGCCATTGGATGAGACATTACCGCATTTGCAACAGATAAGAAACCTGAGAATAAGAGCGATGAGGAAGCCATTGTTACTGAGACTGGTACACGAGGAAGAGAACGCCCGTAAGGTTGACTTCCCATGAGACACGCTGCGTTGTGCTACACATTCTCCAGATTTAGGAAATATTTTTGAGCTATTCTCCATAGTGATCTTAACAGTGAGAATGACCTTGTTTCTGGAACTCCTACTTATAATGATTATCTGGCAACTTATTATTATGTAATGCTGGGCCGGTTATGAGGTAGGACACACCACCGGGAACCAGTAAGTGTCCAACAGTATTATAATAATTCTCATTGTGTATGTGCCATAGAGATGTTGTTGTGCATTGTTTACGATGTAAAATCCGCTGGTGAAATTGTGACGTCATGAGTCATTAGCAGCAACTAAACAAGTTTATTATATTACACGTGACGACCCCATCACCACGTGATCCACCAGGAGACCGAGTGTACACGTGACGACCCCATCACCACGTGGTCCACCAGGAGACCGAGTGTACACGTGACGACCCCATCACCACGTGGTCCACCAGGAGACCGAGTGTACACGTGACGACCCCATCACCACGTGGTCCACCAGGAGACCGAGTGTACACGTCACGACCCCATCACCACGTGGTCCACCAGGAGACCGAGTGTACACGTCACGACCCCATCACCACGTGGTCCACCAGGAGACCGAGTGTCACGACACGACCCCATAACCACGTTATCCACCAGGAGACCGAGTGTACACGTGACGACCCCATCACCACGTGGTCCACCAGGAGACCGAGTGTACACGTGACGACCCCGTCACCACGTGGTCCACCAGGAGACCGAGTGTACACGTGACGACCCCATCACCACGTGGTCCACCAGGAGACCGAGTGTCACGACACGACCCCATCACCACGTGGTCCACCAGGAGACCGAGTGTCACGTCACGACCCCATCACCACGTGGTCCACCAGGAGACCGAGTGTCACGTCACGACCCCATCACCACGTGGTCCACCAGGAGACCGAGTGTCACGTCACGACCCCATCACCACGTGGTCCACCAGGAGACCGAGTGTCACGACACGACCCCATCACCACGTGGTCCACCAGGAGACCGAGTGTCACGTCACGACCCCATCACCACGTAGTCCACCAGGAGACCGAGTGTCACGTCACGACCCCATCACCACGTGGTCCACCAGGAGACCGAGTGTCACGTCACGACCCCATCACCACGTGGTCCACCAGGAGACCGAGTGTCACGTCACGACCCCATCACCACGTGGTCCACCAGGAGACCGAGTGTCACGTCACGACCCCATCACCACGTGGTCCACCAGGAGACCGAGTGTCACGTCACGACCCCATCACCCCGTGGTCCACCAGGAGACCGAGTGTCACGTCACGACCCCATCACCACGTGGTCCACCAGGAGACCGAGTGTCACGTCACGACCCCATCACCACGTGGTCCACCAGGAGACCGAGTGTACACGTGACGACCCCATCTCCACGTGGTCCACCAGGAGACCGAGTGTCACGTCACGACCCCATCACCACGTGGTCCACCAGGAGACCGAGTGTCACGTCACGACCCCATCACCACGTGGTCCACCAGGAGACCGAGTGTCACGACACGACCCCATCACCACGTGGTCCACCAGGAGACCGAGTGTCACGTCACGACCCCATCACCACGTGGTCCACCAGGAGACCGAGTGTCACGTCACAACCCCATCACCACGTGGTCCACCAGGAGACCGAGTGTCACGTCACGACCCCATCACCACGTGGTCCACCAGGAGACCGAGTGTCACGTCACGACCCCATCACCACGTGGTCCACCAGGAGACCGAGTGTCACGTCACGACCCCATCACCACGTGGTCCACCAGGAGACCGAGTGTCACGTCACGACCCCATCACCACGTGGTCCACCAGGAGACCGAGTGTCACGTCACGACCCCATCACCACGTGGTCCACCAGGAGACCGAGTGTCACGTCACGACCCCATCACAACGTGATCCACCAGGAGACCGAGTGTCACGACACGACCCCATAACCACGTGATCCACCAGGAGACCGAGTGTACACGTCACGACCCCATCACAACGTGATCCACCAGGAGACCGAGTGTACACGTCACGACCCCATCACCACGTGGTCCACCAGGAGACCGAGTGTACACGTCACGACCCCATCACCACGTGGTCCACCAGGAGACCGAGTGTACACGTCACGACCCCATCACCACGTGGTCCACCAGGAGACCGAGTGTACACGTCACGACCCCATCACCACATGGTCCACCAGGAGACCGAGTGTACACGTCAAGACCCCATCACCACGTGGTCCACCAGGAGACCGAGTGTACACGTGACGACCCCATCACCACGTGGTCCACCAGGAGACCGAGTGTACACGTGACGACCCCATCACCACGTGGTCCACCAGGAGACCGAGTGTCACGTCACGACCCCATCACCACGTGGTCCACCAGGAGACCGAGTGTACACGTGACGACCCCATCACGACGTGGTCCACCAGGAGACCGAGTGTACACGTGACGACCCCATAACTACGTGGTCCACCAGGAGACCGAGTGTACACGTCACGACCCCATCACAACGTGATCCACCAGGAGACCGAGTGTCACGACACGACCCCATAACCACGTGGTCCACCAGGAGACCGAGTGTACACGTGACGACCCCATCACCACGTGGTCCACCAGGAGGCCGAGTGTACACGTGACGACCCCATCACCACGTGGTCCACCAAGAGACCGAGTGTACACGTCACGACCCCATCACCACGTGGTCCACCAGGAGACCGAGTGTACACGTCACGACCCCATCACCACGTGGTCCACTAGGAGACCGAGTGTCACGTCACGACCCCATCACCACGTGGTCCACCAGGAGACCGAGTGTACACGTCACGACCCCATCACCACGTGGTCCACCAGGAGACCGAGTGTACGTGATCTGGACGTGTCTGGAGCGCGTTAACCAGGCTACACTCTACCAGGACAGCTAAGCTTGTCCATGCCCATATTATTTACCATTTTTAAAATCTTAGCATAACCGATAGCAACATTTCTTAACAATCAATTACTTTTGATTTGGTAGAGCATTAACTGCCTGACTATATGAAGGAGGCTACTAGTAGGAGAGAACTGCCTAGCTATATGAAGGAGGCTACTAGTAGGAGAGAACTGCCTAGCTATATGAAGGAGGCTACTAGTAGGAGAGAACTGCCTAGCTATATGAAGGAGGCTACTAGTAGGAGAGAACTGCCTAGCTATATGAAGGAGGCTACTAGTAGGAGAGAACTGCCTAGCTATATGAAGGAGGCTACTAGTAGGAGAGAACTGCCTGACTATATGAAGGAGGCTACTAGTAGGAGAGAACTGCCTGACTATATGAAGGAGGCTACTAGTAGGAGAGAACTGCCTGACTATATGAAGGAGGCTACTAGTAGGAGAGAACTGCCTAGCTATATGAAGGAGGCTACTAGTAGGAGAGAACTGCCTGACTATATGAAGGAGGCTACTAGTAGGAGAGAACTGCCTGACTATATGAAGGAGGCTACTAGTAGGAGAGAACTGCCTAGCTATATGAAGGAGGCTACTAGTAGGAGAGAACTGCCTGACTATATGAAGGAGGCTACTAGTAGGAGAGAACTGAAACAATACACTCCTCGCTCAAAAGAAATAATTTAATCAAATTAAATATAACTGCAAATTAAATATTAAACTTCTTTTAATAAGTAAATAATGTTAATAAAATTAATAATTAAAATCCCGATAGTAGATTTTCCCCACACTAACAAGTACATGACCTTCGTAAATACTCTAATGTAAACCCTCTAACGTAAACCCGCTAATGTAAACCCTCTAGCGTAAACCCTCTAACGTAAACCATCTAATGTAAACCATCTAATATAAACCATCTAACGTAAACTGTCTAGCGCAAACCATCTCATGTAAACCCTCCAGTGCAAACCCTCCAATGTAAACCCTCTTACGTAAACCCTCTAATGTAAACAATCTAATGGAACTTCTATAATGTAAACCATCTAATGAAAACCTATAATGTAAACTCTCTCATGTAAACCCCTTTAATGAAAACCCTATAATGTAAACTCTCTAATGTAAACAATGTAATGTAAACCATGCAATGTAAACAATTTAATGTAAACTATCTAATGTAAACTAACTAATGTAACCCTTCTAATGTAAACTCTACAATGTAAAAATCTTATGTAAACCGTCTAACGTAAACTCTCTAACGTAAACCACATAATGTAAACTCTTTAATGCAAACCCTCTAATATAGACCATTTAATGTAAACCCTCTTATATAAACCCTCTCATGTAAACCCTCTTACATAAACCCTCTAACGTGATCCTCTATTGTAAACCATATATTGTAAACCCTCTTATGTAAACCCTTTACCGTAAACCCTCTCATGTAAACCTTCTAACATAAACCCTCTAACGTAAACCCTCTAATGTAAACCCTCTTACGTAAACCCTCTAACTTAAACCCTCTAACTTAAGCCTTCTAATGTAAACCCTCTTACGTAAACACTCTAACGTAAACCTTCTAACATAAACCCTCTAACGAAAACTGTCTAATGTAAACCGTCTAACGTAAACCCTCTAATGTAAACCATCTAACGCAAACCCTTTAACTTAAACACTGTAATGTAAACACATCTAATGTAATCCCTCTAATGTAAACCCTCTAATGTAAACTCATCACACAGTACCTCATCAACAGTCACCGGTGTAGAACTCATCATTTATTACCTCATCTATAGACACTATTGTGGAAATCATCAAATTCGAGGAAATGAGACCAAAATCCTTAATGTCAAAAATTGGTTTTGGGGGCAATATTGCAAATTATTTTTTTTTATTTCAAGCTGCAGCAACTCCATTTGTTAGAAATATAATAACTCTCGTTGTGAAGCTTCGCCGGGTGTTGTCCATGCTTGTGAAGCTTCACCGGGTGTTGTCCATGCTTGTGAAGCTTCACCGGGTGTTGTCCATGCTTGTGAAGCTTCACCGGGTGTTGTCCATGCTTGTGAAGCTTCACCGGGTGTTGTCCATGCTTGTGAAGCTTCACCGGGTGTTGTCCATGCTTGTGAAGCTTCACCGGGTGTTGTCCATGCTTGTGAAGCTTCACCGGGTGTTGTCCATGCTTGTGAAGCTTCACCGGGTGTTGTCCATGCTTGTGAAGCTTCACCGGGTGTTGTCCATGCTTGTAAAGCTTCACCGGGTGTTGTCCATGCTTGTAAAGCTTCACCGGGTATTGTCCATGCTTGTAAAGCTTCACCGGGTGTTGTCCATGCTTGTAAAGCTTCACCGGGTGTTGTCCATGCTTGTAAAGCTTCACCGGGTGTTGTCATGCTTGTAAAGCTTCACCGGGTGTTGTCATGCTTGTAAAGCTTCACCGGGTGTTGTCCGTGCTTGTAAAGCTTCACCGGATGTTATTCGTGCTTGTAAAGCTTCACCGGGTGTTGTCCATGCTTGTAAAGCTTCACCGGATGTTGTCCATGCTTATAAAGCTTCACAGGGTGTTTTCCATGCTTTTAAACCTTCACCGGGTGTTGTCCATGCTTGTAAAGCTTCACCGGGTGTTGTCGTGCTTGTGAAGCTTCACCGGGTGTTGTCCATGCTTGTGAAGCTTCACCGGGTGTTGTCATGCTTGTAAAGCTTCCCCGGGTGTTGTCATGCGTGTAAAGCTTCACCGGGTGTTGTCATGCTTGTAAAGCTTCCCCGGGTGTAGTCATGCGTGTAAAGCTTCACCGGGTGTTGTCATGCGTGTAAAGCTTCACCGGGTGTTGTCCATGCTTGTGAAGCTTCCCCGGGTGTTGTCATGCTTGTAAAGCTTCCCCGGGTGTTGTCATGCTTGTAAAGCTTCACCGGGTGTTGTCATGCTTGTAAAGCTTCACCGGGTGTTGTCATGCTTGTAAAGCTTCACCGGGTGTTGTCATGCTTGTAAAGCTTCACCGGGTGTTGTCATGCTTGTAAAGCTTCACCGGGTGTTGTCATGCTTGTAAAGCTTCCCCGGGTGTTGTCATGCTTGTAAAGCTTCCCCGGGTGTTGTCATGCGTGTACAAAGCAAATATTTCAGCAAAAAATGTTTGATGTTCGAGAAATGCTTTCAGAAAAAAAAAATTGAGTATTCTAGATTAGCTTCAGTTTCGTTGTGGGAATCTATATAAATAAAAATGAAAATGTACGTTTGTTCAAAATCGCTAATCTCGGAAAGTTCTTCACTGATTGCTTTGAAATTTTCAGACATGAGAAAACATGCTTCTTTTTTAAAAACTGCGTTTTTCATGCGAGTCAAATTTTCGAAACCTTTTTACCGATTGCTTTGAAATTTTGACACAACGTTGCATTCGAATAGGCACGTGTTTTTATATACAAACTATATACATGCCTCACCTGTGACAGGGGAAAAAAAATGTTTTTTTTTAAAAACAGCGCCATCTGTTGGACGTAAGAGCAACACACACGCTGTAATCTCCAAAAGTTCTTCATCAATTGGTTTGAAATTTTGACACAACGTTCATTTCGAACACGCGCATACTCTTTTATACCTACTATATAGATGCATCACCTGTGACAAGTAAAAACATGTTTTTTTTTTTAAACAGCGCCATCTGTTGCTCGCAAGAGCAACACATGCTATACTAAATGTTACGATTCCATTTCAAAGTTTCCGATTGCATTGGTAAATTAGATTTTCATTGATTTTGATTTATTTTAATTTTAATTTAATTATTTTGTGGGATATTGCATTGGAATTGAGCTGTGTTGTTTACCATACCGTTCATTTCATGAGTATAAGTATTGATGCCACACCTGTGACAGGGAAAACCAAGCGTTGTTTGAAAAATTGCGTCATCTGTTGCATGTAGGAGCAACACTCACTATACTGAAAATGTTACGATTTCATTTCAATGTTTTCTGATTGCATTGATAAATTTAAATTTCATTTATTTCGATTTATTTTCATTTTGATTTCATTATTTTGAGTAACATTGCCTTGGAATTGAGCTGTGTTGTTTACCATACCGTTCATTTCATGGGTATAGTTTTTTTTAAATTTTAATTGTTTTCAGTTGGTTTTTAACTGTTCTTATTTTTCAGTGATTGGGAACATCAGATCATTTGATGTTCCCAATTTTCGGAAGGGAATACCAAATCATTTGGGAATACATTGGACAAGGGAGTGGGGAATAGTGGGGAGGACGAGGGGACGTGGGGAGTTATGGATGGTGGGGACGAGGGTACGGGGGGTATGAGGGGGGAATGGAGAATGGTGGGGAGGACAAGAGGACAGGGGAGTGGAGGATGGTGGGGGAGGAAGAGGGGACAGGGGAGGTGGCAATAGTAGGAAGGGCGAGGAGATGAGAGAGTGGGAGAATGGTGGGGAGGACGAAGGAATGGTGGAGTGGGGAATGGTGGGGGGGGGGACGAGGGGACTGGAAAAGGTTGCTGTGGCCGGGTACAGCTAGTTAGTTATAAATATAACCATATTGACATTGTTGAATGATTGCTTTAGTTACTCAATATAAATACAATAATGTGGTATATCTATGATGAAATCTTTGAAGCAAGATGAGGCTCGACCGAGCATCCTGGGTA